TAACTAACTAACTAACTAACTAAATAAATAAATAAATAAATAAATAAATAAATAAATAAATAAATAAATAAATAAATAAATACAGAGCAAGTGCACAAGGATAGATTTTTAATCATAAAAATTGCAAATTGCTTCTCCATGTTGCTTTATCCTAAACGTTGATTTAACAAGGCAACTGTTATCACATTTTCCCATTTCCCACATTTACAGAAATGTGTCAAAAATAATTTTAGAGGACACCACAAATCCTTGTAAGATTGATACATTAAAAAAAAGAAAAGAAAAAATAAGAATTCTGTTGTACTGCACAGGATAAAGAAAAAGCATCACATCTTCTTATTTATCACACAGAGATAAACCAGACCAAGATGTGCATCTGTAGCTGTTACATAATCTTGTTAAAAACAAGTGTGAACAGCTGCTAATTGTTCTCTGCCAGGGAGATCCAGGGACAGACTTTGTAGAATGGGAATACTCCTCTATAAAAAAATTTATGCAAGTAATCTCAAATGGGCAAAATGTCTAAAGGGAAAGAAAAAAAAACCACACACAACAAAATCCCTGTCCAGTCTCCTTCTCTTTGGTTTGCCTAAGCTGCTTAATGATTTTGAGAAATGGGAAACTTCCTTCCTGGTCACCCATAGAGGGGAATTGATGCATTCCATTTTTTAAAATATATATATTCTTAACTGATACAGTTTATCATTTAAGGGCAGAGAAAAGCCTTTTCAAAGTATCACTGATATGTTAGCAACAATTGAAAAAGATACAAAACTTCCTCTCCCTTCCCCTCCACAGGTAAACTGAATGAAAACAGAATGATCCTACCCACACCCAAAACAAACAAACAAAACCCAGAAAAAAAAAAACAGAGACACAAAAAAGTGCAGATAGTCATCAATCAGAAGCAGAATGGTTTGCTATGGTAGGTAGGGTGTGTGGTCACTGGGAAAAGGATTGAACCAGCCCATCCTCAATCTGGACAAACTGCAGAACAAATGTCCATCTATTTACACTCTTACTAAAACTCCACTTGGCTTCCTCATTGTGCTCTATTTTGGTGGCTTGGTAAAAGAGCGACTCAATAATTAGTGGCAATTAGTCTCTGACTGTTATGCACGTCTATTTCTGTCAACATTAAGTACACAGCAGGATCCTGTCCTACAGCAGGCAGCAAAATATTTCTTATAAATTATCAGCCATGACAAGTGTTGTAAATATTCTTGGAAACAAGGTTATTGTTCTCTTACAGTTTAGGTGTTGAGGTGGAAAATAATGAAAAAACTCCTGCAGGGTTTGCTTCAAAACAGTTTTTGGAATTATTGATCCTGTAGAGTAGACCTGGTTATATTTCTCAGTAGTTAGAAGATTATGGGTGTGAACATTTATTCTTGCTCAAAGTGAAAACCTGTATGGATAACTAGTGACAAAACGTAAGTTAGGAACACAGCTCTCAAACCAGCCACTCTTGAAAACAAGTTGGTAAATCGGGAACAATATTAAATACATGCCACTCCATCATTCCTTAAAAGAAGACAGCTCTTTACAGTGGTAAATGAAAGCGTTTGAGATAATGCTGTTTTACACATTTGAACTAAACCAAATACTGTATTTTTCTGTGTATAAGACGCCCCCCCCATTTTTCTAACCCAAAATTAAGAAATCGAAGTGGGGCTTAGCAAGTGTTTGGGGAAAGAGATCAAAGCACTGCAGGATCACTTTGATCCCTGCTTTCCCCTCCACTTGTTTTTTCTCTCCTCAGCTTACTTCCATGTATAAGACGACCCCCAATTTTTAGTCTAAAGATTTTAAACAAAAGTATAGTCTTATACGTGGAAAAATACGGTATTTAGCAAGTTGAAAAATGACTCTACTCCTGTTACTGCACAAATATAAAACAGAAATCCAGTGAAGGGAAATATTTTGAAAATGCTTTGGAAATCAACCAATCAATTGATCAATAGATGTTGGAGATACTGAATGTACCTAATTCTCCAACTATATCATCAAGTTAAGACTGGGAATGCATTATTAATTAATATATTATTCAGGAATACAGACTTACATCAGTAGCATTTCTGAAGAATGTATTCTGATGTTTGAGGCAGATTTAATGATTCACAAATTTTATTATTTAATTAATGTTCTAGAAAGGATAGTTGCAATAGCTTGTTCAGTTTCTTCATCTCAAAGCTATTTAATGTAGTCAAAAAGCAGTGTAGCAGATTTAATGTTTTCATTGGCAGGGAAGCTGGCTGTAAAATAATATGATATAGCGGTCTCTGGATTTTCATACTGAGCAGAGGATGGTTCTGAATCTTAAATGTAGTTCCAAAAATGTGAATATCTGCAAAACTTCAGATATTTAGTTAGATAGTTAGTTAAAATATTTATTTCCCAGCTTTCTCAAGAGAACCCAAGCTGTTTTACAATATTAAAAGCAAACAATAGAAAAACTGGAAGAGGAGGAAAATAACCAAACAAAAAGACAGAACAAATAAAACCCAATAGCAGCCCAACTCTTAGGCCGCAAGTTGCTGAAACAAGGCCCTCCTGAAGAGAAAAGAGAGTAGCAAAGAAGAAGTCTGACTTCCTGAGGGAGGGATTTGCATAACTTGGGGAAGGCCCTCTCTTGTGTCCTCATCAAATGCACCAGTGATGTTAAAGCTTGTAGCCTTCTTTGAGCTCATTGGTACCCTCACCAAACTCCCCTCCCGCTTGGCCAGTCCTCCCCCCTGAAGTTTTTATAAATCAAGAAGAGTGGTGGCTCTCACCTCTCCAAGGTCCCTGTTCTACTTTCCAAGCTGCAAGAAGTGAAACTTGTCCCATAAGCATAGTAATAGGAATTACTAGTTGTTCAATGTCATAAGATTTAATGGACATTTCAATGATATAGCTGAGGTCAAGGGAAAAGAAGATAAATAAATAAAAGTAATGAGAAGATATAATATGATGATGTAAAAGTAATTACATGACATTTGGTAGAAGTAGGTGAAGCTGGCAATCTGAAAGCTACGTCTTTCTTCAGGATTTCAGTACTTGTGAACTGTTGCAAAAGGAAGTTTGTAAGTTTTTTTGGAAATATAACACTGAGTGTGATAGAGGATGTAATATGGAGAGTATGTTCTTTGATAGGTATAATTGTTCTAATGACTAGCTTTAGCTCTATTGCAAAATGATATGCCAAGTTTGTTACACCAGACAATGCATGCATCTTTTCCTTGAGAAAAGCACATTAAGATATTTGTACTGGTTGTATTCAAGACTAATCCATTTCCAGTCTAAATTGTTGACAGCATGTTTGAAA